AGAACTTGCTAGGACTTTGTTCGATTTGTTCTTAGCTGTGGGAAATCGCTACCAAGACTTGCGACCGTTTGGAAGGTATTTGCAATTTTTTTTACAGTGCAACATAGCGCAGCAAACGTTTTTTGGTTATCTAACGGAAAGGCGGTGGGTAGAAAAATAACGTGCTGGAGACTGTGTTCGGGAGTATATTGCATTGTGTTCTTAGGCAAGACACTTCACTCTTACTGTTCATCGTTACACCCATGTATAATTACGGGTACTTTTATCAATATATTTCTGGTGGTTACTAGCTATGAAATGGTAACCTGTAGCTTTTTGTTAACTGTGATAGTTTCGAACAGTAATGAGCCACTATCCTCTCGCTTAAGATCTCAAGAGTAATTCTCTTTTCTTTCTGCTCTACATTTCATATCGTATTAGTTATTAGGCCCGGTTTAAACGTCGCATTTTACATGCGCCGAATCTAATACTAATTTAAGTCGACCTGAATTAAAAAAGTTCGGCATTTGATTTAAACGTCGCATTCAATTGTGCCCAATTTAATTGCCGAGTGCGAGTGACAGCTTCATTCCCAGACTCCGCTCTAAGTCCCCCGCCAATATGGCTAACAAAAATAAGGAGGATACTTTGTGTTTTCGGCGTTTATGCCTCTCAAGCACCATTTGCGCTCACAGGAAACGGTGACTTATAATGCAGATGGCAGTGCATCATCTGCTACCAAGAAGAAGACGGCTTCTGTATGTTTGTTCCCTTGTTATGCTTTTCCTATCGCAAAGAAATGCCATAGCACGTGTCCCAAGACCCCGATCGTGCCGTCGATTGATACGAAATGAAGGCTGGTGGCACAAGGTATTGACTACATATTCTGATGTTCGATTCTTTCCCGCCAGTTTTCTTTGTGCATGTCATGTACCATAAAACTGTTGTGTTATGGGTAAAATATAATTAAACATAATTTATGAATTAGATTCGGCACAGGTAAAATGCGGCGTTTAAATCAACTGTCGAACTTCAGTCGCATATTCGACTGGATCAGTCGAATCTTCGACTGAACTCGCATTTAATACAAATCTGCCGAATTTAATTGATTTAAACGTCGCATTTTACATGCGCTTAATTCGGCAATTAGATTCGGCGCATGTAAAATGCGACGTTTAAACCGGGCCTTAGAATCGGGTATCGGATCAAGTGTCATCCCCAGATTGATATTTCTCTTTATTCTCACCAACTGTCTGCCCGATTTTGAGCAGGTATTGCGAGAAGAATTACGTTTTTGGTCACTCTTGAAGGTGAATGGGTCAAAGGTGTGAAAACTTCGAATCTTTACGACTGACTTTACTATGAATGTGCTCGTTTATTCGACATCAAACGTTCGTTCCGCGAACGAGCAAAATAAGTTGAAAATTAGCTCAAGCTAACTCTATATGCATTGATTTTGTTGAAAAATAAGTTAGCCTTGCTTTTTAATGGAAGCAGTCAGATAGCGTAATCGGGCTTGTAGAGCTTCAAATTTTAAATTAACTTTTCCTAGTGCTGTCATGGATGGTATTGATCTTGATATCGAGGGAGGAAACAAGAAAAACTATGGGGTATTTATCGAGGAATTACGAACACTCATGGACAACGACCCGTCAAAGGGTTATCTGATCACAGGTGCACCTCAGTGCCCATTTCCCGACCATTTCCTGGGACCTGGGCCGGGAACTGGTAAGTACCAGGAATCACGTTTAGCGTTAGAAACCAGATAGGCATTGCATTGTTTGTCATTACAGTCATATCGATCCCAGAGGTGGACCAATGCCAATAAAGCCGAGTTAGGCCAGCATAACCATTCATACAGTCAACTTGATAGTTTCGGTTTTTTCCGTCGAAAACGCCCGCCACTATTGTACTTAGTTTGTGCTCTGTGGCTTAATTTAAAAACATGGCGTTCACGCCCATGCACGGCTTGATAACTTAATTTTGGTAGAACAAAAAGTTCATGTCAGCTTAGTGCACTTCTCATGTCTTCAAAATCACACTTTGAACATTTTAATCAATCAGTTTAAGAAATGAGTTTCTGCTGGAAACGATTCAATTGTGAAGTCAACTGAGACCTTACAAAACTAGTATTTCATTCAACAAAGAAAGTAAAGATAAACTACACGTACGGTGGGGGACCCAATTTTTTTAAACGAAATTCTTTTTAAGGCCTGGAGGAAGCAGGACATCTTGTGGACCATCTTTACATTCAGTTCTACAACAATTACTGCCACACCGGTGCTGGTAACTGGTTCACTGACACTTTAGATAAGTGGCTGAAGTTTGCTAGTAGCAAGACTCCACGAGGACCGTTGATTTTTATCGGACTACCTGCGGCTACAAAGGGCGCCAGTGGTGCACATTTCTACAGACCACCAGCTGAGCTGACCAAGATGTATCAGGTACGTAAAATTACCTATTTTATTTGGAGTAAAAAAAGCTGCAAACGTGCGCCTTGTGGTTGGTCTAGAAAACTTGCAGTAACCTCTCAACTAATCCAATCAAGATGCAAAATTAGTGATGCAATTCACATCACTCGCGGTTTTTGTGCCTCAGACTTTTGTATTGCTTTCATTGCATGACCGGGGCAAATTTACCAACCTGTATGCGCAAAAAAAAAGATTGAATAAATGTTACACTACCATATCTTCGTTGATTGTCGTACAGCCTTATACCTTTCACAGGCCGTCAAAAACCTGCCGGGCATCGGTGGAATAATGCTTTGGGACGTCTCCTGGGATCAAAACAATGTTATCAGTGGACAACGATACTCTGAGTATGCGTTTAAGGAGCTTGGCGGCGCCATCTTGCCTCCTGCAACAACCTCAGCGCCTCCTCCGCCAGTTAGTACACAGGCTCCTCCTCCTCCTCCTCCGCCAGTCAGTACCCAGGCCCCTACTCCTCCCTCGCCAGTAACAACTCAAGCACCACCTCCACCTACTGGTATCTATACCATTTTTGTGCAACTTAGTTTATGTTAACTTTTCCTTGAAGCGCAGAGTCGAAAATTTGATCAATTTAAATAATCTTAATCTGAGGATTACAGAAGATGGGATGGTTAAGAATGGAGTAAATTGGTAGGGATTGAAAATGAGAATATTAAACTTGATGAATTCCAGCTAAATTGTCAAGATAGATAAACCATTATTTAAGTTCTTTTCAATTCGGACACCATCTTTATTACATACTGAGATTTACACTGTGAAATACTATCGTTCGTGTGATTTGACAAACGATGCATTTTCACAGTTTTTCTTTTTTTTTCCGATGCATCGTATGTGCGCGCTTTCCATGGAGTAATCTCTATTTACTCCCGGTTTCTGTTGAGAAGACAATCCTTGTAGAAGCAGTTGACGTAAGCTATACATATGTTTACAAGGGATTGCCTGGCCACGGTTTATATTTCCCTTTTCTCATGCGATAAATTTGTATGCTTACATCAATATTTAACAATTATTCGCCTCAGGTTCGGTGAATATCGTCGAATAATTCCCTTGACGAAGTCGAGGGAATTATTCGACAATATTCACCGAACCTGAGGCAAATAATTGTTTCAGTATAATTTCAGAGCTGAACAACAGAGAAATTTCTAAAATCACAACATTTTAGTAACGTTTATTAACATTTTATTTTCACATTTTATATAAACCGCGTGGAGCGGTTTATATAGCGTCATATAAGGAACCACTCGACCTATTAGATTGCTGGAAACTCTTTGCTCAGCTCAGAAATTATACTAAATAATAACATGCCTCCCATCCTTTTTTTTTTCTCCTTAAACACAGGTCCATTCTCCTGTGAAAGCGCTGGTGATGGTCTTCACCCAGACCCTAGTGATTGTTCCAAATACATCCAATGTTTTGGCGGACGGCAGTTTAACCAGTCTTGTGCAGGAGGCCTTCTGTTTAACCCGAAAACAAAAGTGTGTGATTGGCCGCAAAACGTGCAGTGCTGATGTACAGCAGCTGATGATTGTCTAAGCGGGATCAATAAAAGTACACTGTGCTATTATACTGTTGTCATCTTTCATGAATATGAAACACTCTCGTATATAGCACTTCAGTTATCTCCTCCTCCTCCGATAACTTTTTCTCCCCTTTTTCTATCACGCAATCGAAGTAACAAGATTCTGTAAAAGGGAACACCACTGTTTCATGATTTTCTCCGTAACATGCAGTTTAATTTTGCTATAAGGGGTAGCCACCAGTTGTTTGATACTTATTCTTGCTAATTCGTACCCTGGATTGCTTTTAACACTGGCATTCATTATCTAGCCATCGCTTCCATTTAGATGTGCAATATCTAAGGAAGTACTTGCTGGGTCCTTTAATTAAGTAAGAGAATACATTTTCCCTGTTATATAACGTGATAAAGCCACACGGCGGGATGTTGAGAAAACACGAGAACAATTCATAAATATAACTTTCCTCGTGCTCTCCCAACATCCCGCCTGGCTTAATCACATTATATAGCCCGGAAAATGTGTTCTACTGGTTCTATGACATAACTAGTTGTCACCGATCAAATGCAGGCTATATCACTTGGTAAAGCACACACTTGGAAACTGAACTGAGCAATCAGACGATGCGTACTATATTCATTATGTCGTAAAAGGTCGAACAAGTAGAACAAAAAGATCGAATTAACAGTTTTGACAAGGAAAAAGTAAAGATGAAGGACAGCTTAAGGTGGCATGCTCGTAAATTGCCCATCTTTCATGACAAAAAGTATTTTCTGTAAGAGAAAGGCAATTGAATTATGAGAAAAAACGGTAAACTTCACTTGTATATCCACCGGATGCACTTAACCAAAGGTGAAAGAGATAAAAGCTAACCTATTCAGCATTCGATTCATGATTTATATGCGCATTTGCAAAATTAAGGGTCACATTGGTAAAATTGATTACATCTAATTAATCGAAATTGAGCATTTTCGGTTAAAAAGTATTTTTATCACCTCCGTCAGTGGAAGATGTTTAACAACTGGATATGTTTTAATTTGTACGTTGCATCAATGCATCAAATTATTTCAGCAAACTATCCTGTCGTACAAAATAACCGCGTTTTAGTCGGTCATTCTTTCAAAGAGTTCTACACCTCAGACTGGTTCAGCTGCGTTCAGTCCTGTTATGACGAACCAGAATGTATCTCATACAACTACCAGAGATCAGGGAATTACATCGATCTGTGTGAATTGAATGACAGTGGAGTTGAGGCGCTCTGCGACAGAGATAAGTCACTTATCTACTCATCCGGCTTTGTATTTCAACAGATCAGAGAGACTAAGGTACATATTCCCTGGTTTAATTTTAATTTCTATTGCCGTAAAATTGGTCGCCTCAATTGTAATGAAGCAACAAAAGATTTAAGAAAAAGAAGAATGTGAGAAGATAGGAAAGGCGTGAGCCTGGAACCGCATCATTTTGAGAGAAATTAAAAGTAAACTCAGTTGTGTCCCTTTTAAGATAGAGGTTACTGCGGCGGCACAATACGGCATGCTCTTGCTATAACAACGCGACGAAAGATTTCGTTTTTAGTTTATATTTAGCCTCCACCTCTTTTTTGACTCATCCTTATGGTTTCTCAAATCCCTTTTACACCACTCCAGAGTTAACGCCATTCAGTATTTTAGGGATTTGCGTTGTTTATTTGAAAAAAAGCAAAAGGAAGGCAAAGATGCCGCGGCCAAATAAAGCGTAAAGAATTTTTCAAAAATAAAAACCCCAGTGATCTCTCCTCTTTAAAAATTTTGACCAAGCTCTAAGTAAAAGAGTGATGGTTTCTTATATCAGCTGAAGATGACTTCTTCGTTCTTATAAATAGTATTTCTTTATCTCGTGTTAACTAAAACCTTTTCGTTTAATCGACAGTTGTCCAAAGATGATTTGAATATCCAACACACTGGATTAATAGTCGAGCAGTCAACGGAGTCAACTACAGCGACATCGGCAGACATCGGGACACAAGCAAACTTGCTCTCGCCTCTAATCAAATCACCCATTGATTCATATTCAAGTGACAAATCCAGACCTTGAGCTAAGGGCGAGGGGGAAGGGGAGGGAGCGGACGGGTTTTTATCTTTTTGTGTGTACAACAGTTGGCTTTTTTTCCTTCTGCGATTTTTTGTTTATCCAAAATAGGGAAGGCGGCACCGCCGGCCCCTTCCCTTGATCCGCTTCTGTATGCCTAAGTAGCACCAGGCCCCCAGCCCCAAAAAGCATGAAAAAATAATAATCACCTGAGCAATTAATAGTTCCACTGATATGACTTTGAAGCAGGGGACCATTCGTCAGCGTTGTAAACTTTAGTGTTTGACACAGCCCGCGAGAAGAGCATGTTTTCTAGCGATCGAGTGATAATTATTCGGTTTGATTGTTAATGTTGTCATAATGGATTGGTAAGATGGAGAAAAACCTGACACACCTCAAAGAGGTGTATTTGGAGGAGAAAAAATAACGGGAGTAGGGGGGAAAGGGCAAAAAGTGAAGGAGGATGGGGTGTTTCGCTTACTAACTTTATATGGTGGCTACAACAATCCGTCGTAATGATAAGCGCTCACTCGCCAGTAATAAACGCCTGCCATGCAGGCTGTATTTTAAAACCACTTTGTCTCTTACTGGTGACATCAGAGGATATTGAGTTCCTTCCAAGCCTCATATGAATTGTAATCAATGACATTCGAATTGTGTGATCAAAGTAATGAACTTAAATTAGAAGGTACAAAGAGAATTCTTTATTTTTGACTAAGAGCAATAACAGTTGCAAAACGTAAATCGTTGTGTGTTACGCAGCATCGCAATTCGTGTACCCAACACTTAAAAATCAATTAGAGACAATGACAATTCTTAACCTTTTAACACTGGCACAACAGTAACCTCATTGGCTCGTCCATATACCTTGCTATTGGCTGTCTCCACTGTAATGGTATATTCTGAGTTCTCGTGAAAGCCAACGATCTCCAAAAACCGTGATGAAGCTTTATTTCATGACTTGTCGCTTTTTTTGTGATTACTGATGTAATATTTGGAAGCGCCATCCTGGGCGTAATTTTTAAACTGATTGGGAGAGCCTGACCGGACGTTGCAGCTTGCTTTGATGTTTGTTAAGCAAGAGAATAATTAGCTAATCGATCGGGCTCTCTTTTTTCTTTTTCCATTTTTTTATAATTGTCTCCACCTGTCTCTAACTCTACATTTAATCTTGACTTTTTTGTCGATGAGCTTCATTTGACAAAACGCTGTAGTTTTTTTAATGAAAATGGTTCACAGCATAACATCTAACTTGCACAAGAGCTACTCATTAATACTTCTTGTCTTGATTAACTAATTTTTTCATCAAAAGATGCTCCAAAAGGATTTTCCAGCAAATTATGAATTAATGTCTGTTGATAATTGTTTCTGCAGAATTTTTAAACTTAACGACTATTATATAATAGCTTGAAACCGTTTAACGGTGACCGATAACACTCTGCAGTTTTCATCAACCCAGTTACAGCTGTGCATGTGGAACGGAGCAAAATCGAACATAGCTGCGATTGCAGTAATTAGTTATTCCCTGTGCAACTGAGGATTTTCACTGATCACGTGATCACGTTTGGTTTTTGAAATCGTTTCACGGTTACTGCTCCTGACCAGCAGTTATGTTAACAGGCACACTAGCTGGTTCAAATCCTTTGCTATTTGCAGCCTCCACTGTAATGGTAAATTCTGAGTCCACATTTTACGTTAATGATCTCCAAATACCGTGTCGGAGGTTTGACCTCGTGACATGTTGTATCGTGTATGATTCCTGATGTAATATTTACTCTGTATTTCAGTATCAAGCCCCGTCGTTTTCTGTCCCAGGTGACCAGAATACAGGACGAATTCACGCTTACAGCGGTGATATTTGGAGGCGCCATCTTAGGCCCTGAAGCCAAATACATTTAATGGAATCTTTTTTTAACTGAGTTGAGGACTGGACGGGATAATATTTGGCTCGAGGTGCACTCGGTCCATACGGCATGACCTCTAGCACAATTTTTTTCTTGTCCGGCCCGACCAAACTCAGTGAATAAGCATTTTATTGTATGACCACTTAGTGCTGAGAATTTCCTAAAATTTTGTTGCAACCGAAATGGAATGAACCTTCATACAAAAGAATGGCGTGCATTGGACAACTGGTCATATTCAAAGTGAAAAATTTTCATTTTGTTGGATGGATGTAATGGTGTTGACTCAGGGTTCTTAAGAGATGTCTAATCTGCCAGGGTCATATGTCCCTTCAGCCTTTTCTTGTCCACTACTAGGATATTTTTAAAAGAGTGTGTACCTAGAGCTAAATTATTTGAGAAGAGAGCGGTAGTCACCTAGAATAAATGTTTTGATCAGACTCCTGGTGTTCGAGCTAGTTTACTACGACACGTTCGACATGAACAAAAAAGTACTCAATGCATCAAGTCGGAAAAACAATCGATCTTCGTGAACTAAATTCCTAAACAAGAAATTCACTTGAGAACTCAAAGCAAGGTCATTAGGCAAACCCAAACACGATAAGCGGAGGTGATAATTGTCCAAGAATTAGGTCCCATTACAATGGTCTAGGACAAATCACCTAAAAGCAAAATTCTATGTGCGTCCTTGCATCGCAGGGCAAAGCAAGGCTCACAGGACTTGCACAAAGACCATGCGATAATCTAATAAGCCTAAACAATTTACAAACGCTCAGCCTGAACACTTTAAATGAGGCTCAATACTTTTTTCTTTAAGTTAGAACAAGAAAATCAGAGTTGAAGTCAACAATTTCAATCCACGCTCTCGGAAAATGCAGAAGAGCCGTGTGAGTGCAGAGCCGGACTCTTTTTTCCAGACATGCTCACGTCAATCAGTTCGGCCCTAAATACATCAGCTTTCACTATAGTCATTTATGGCATTGCGCACGCAGGGAAGTACAGGCCATTTAATACATACGAAAGTTTCACTTACTTCTCTCATCTGTTTAATGCCAAGAGCACCTCACAAGACGAACCATTTCCACACTGGCTGTAGGCCTGCACTTTAATTGTGTACTTTCTGTTGACAATTAATCCTGTAAGGTTGAAATGTACGGAGGGAACAACAAACACTTTTCTTTTTCCCATGCCGGTTGACCTCCTTCTATTATGGCATATTCTACTTCATATCCAAAAATCTTTTTATGCGTTTGATTGGTTGGTACAGCCCTCCATGTGATAAAAATGCTCTTGTTCATATGGTTCACCATGGTGACATTTTGTGGCGGAGTCCTGGGAACTGGAAATGAAGGCTAATAATGATTAACAAAATATTACTCGAGACCAGACCCTTTCCTTTTTTTCTCTGATTGTTGGTGTATTGGAGCTCCTGCGATCTTCTCCATACCAGTGGTAAAGATCGTGGAAGCACCGGAACACCCCTGGCTGAAGACTAGCCTATCATATTAAGAGTTCAGGAAGGTTACGCAACCCCCTAACTCCCGGAAGTGATCAACATTTAAATTCTCCTAATATCATCCATACATTACCCAGCAATCAGGTAATGAGAACACTCAAACTTATCAGGCAGAAATTGTCATCTTGATCGAACACCAAATTCTCGTAATTAACCTACATGGAAATATTTAGCAGCTAGAGGCCGGAGAGAATTAACAATCATATCTGGGGAGTTAAAGGTAAAGAGAACTTGTCGAATCCGGGCTTGTCATAAGTTCAAGTCATGATCTGACATTTGAAAAAGGACACCCGGCCCCGTTTTCTTTAATAAGACAGGATTGGTTTTATTTTATAGCCTTTTTATGACTAGAAAATGATATCGTCATTGATTCATCCTTATGATAGAAGCTAGAAAACTAACAATGAATTTCTTCGACGAAGGTTTCATACCTGAGTTCAAAATTTACTCTCTTAATTTGCTCGGCAATTTTAGAAGAAAACTATGGAGCGTGCCTGATTTATTCGAGCTACAAATGTTTTTATTACGGGACAGTAAACACTCGTTGACCTAAGGAGCGTATGGCGAGTAAATATTAAACTGAATGTGATGATGAAAATAATGACGTTGTTGATGATGGCGTTGATCAACAGGTAACAGGATTAAGAAAAAAAAACATACTTCTGTGATATCAAACACGAGGATGCTTTAAGAAAATTGTGTCATTTTAACAAATTTTTTAACAATGTAGTGTCGGGATACACTTCTAAATAAGTTTTTGTCGATTGTTTTCATAACAATGGTATGATTTGCTTGTGGCAGCTCCCAGAATGTTCGAAAACGATGCTGAACTTTTGCTGTTTTCTCTGAATTACACTTCCCATCATTGCGATCAAGGTTTGATTTTACAGCAAACTAGAGACAGAACGGTTTAAATAAAGACAAAATAAGTGAATACAGGTTAGTTTTTAGAATGTGTCGTAACATTTCCTACACATCATAAGCAGTTATATCTCAGAATTAACAGAACGCCCCAACTTTTAACCGAGAAGTCTGGGCCTACATATATTAATTCATCATACTGAGGCATTGCACAATCTTGTAACAAAGAGTACGAGTACATCGTCCGGCAGATTGTTGAAAGATGAGTTGAGCATTTAGGATACTAGCTCTCTGTGCAAGAGCAGATGACTCTGATCTGAGTACCAGTTTCAACAATCGCTCTAGTGAGATTGAAGCTCTTTCTACGACATTTTCCGCTGCTGAATAATCTGTACTGTCACTGTTGATGCTCGAAGTGTTTTTAAAGCGAAATAACAATTTAGCTAGATTATGCTAGTGGTCGACTAACACTAAAATAAAAGCTAGGGAGTAAGGTCGGTTTGCTAAATCATGCCCGTATAATTATGCTAACAAATCGACAAAAAGCCTACTTCACAAGTTATATGGACGTGCGAATAGCCCAGTTGTTTAAAAGTTGAATCCATAAGCAATGAACGAAAGGGTTAAAGGGTAGCCTTCGACTTTCCAAAGACTTATCCTGTTTCTGATCGAAACACGCCGTCTTTTGACAGCTGGTTTTCAAAAACATCATCTCTGAAAGTTGTCGTTGATTTGCAAATTTTGTTACCTTGTTCATGCATCAGAACTAAGTTCTTCATTTATTTATCAAGTAGTGTTCGTTTACGACGGCGAGCATGATCCTTTCAACCATGACTTGCTTTGTTCCGAGAAAAATAAATGACGGAAGATATATATATGAACCAATCAAACATGACTGAACAATAAAATCAAGAAGTCAACAAGATGTCCTCGTCAAATCGGATTATATGACAGGGAAGAAACGATGACTTTAGAGTAAAAAGAAAAGAAGCAACTCAATTTTGTACCTTAATTGAGATGGAACCAAGAACTTAGAAAAAGGATATTAATTTCAATTGTTGTATCTATTAAATAACTTGCCTCCTTGGCAATGTTTTTATCTGCTGAAAAACAAACCCCTTCGAGTAAATAAGGAACTTATCACTATTGCACAAGTCTTCATTTCCCCGATTATTCAATTCACGCACACAGACCGTTGGCTTTCGCAGACCTCTGGTAGCTGTATGTCACACATTTCCATTCGATGTTGATTGGTCGATCAAAACAATGCGGTCTTGACAAAACCTCTCGAGGGGACCAGGGGAGCTAACTGGTTTGTTCGTCGACTGCAGGTCGCTGGCTACCCTCGCCGGGCTTATTTTTGTTACCCAACATACAGTGCGATCGGCCAACGGGCCGCAAATGTTTCAAGCAGCCAAATTCGAAATTGGAAAGCCGATCCATCTGGAGATAAAAGCATCGCTAGTGAAAGATCTGTGGGAGGAATTGGGAATCGAGTGAATGGAAATGAAACTGCAACATCTCTGCTTTGATTTTCTGGAGGAATCGAGACTGGTGGTAATTTTTTGGCGGAATTATTTGCTTCGGGCGACGGACACTTCTAAAATAGGTTTCCGGCCTTGTCTTTCTTTTAGCAGTTGAACACCAACATAGCGCTAACTCGCCGAAAACGCTTCAAAATGGCCTGAGACGCTCGGAATCAACAAAGAAAACAACAAAGCAATAAGGTAAGCCCATTTTATTTCAAAACAAGACATTTTTTTCTCTCTTTTAAGGCAAACCGATAACATCCCATACAAACCTTTATAAATATAAAACGTTGCGCAACACGTTAAGAGTCACGTCCGCTTTTCTAGTAGTGAGCTTGGGCTGCCTGTGGTTAGAAGAGGTGGGACTAAGGCACCCAATTGCTTTCGACACTTTCAACTTATGTGACACGCACAAGGCAGGTAAATCGCGACAGCTAAGTGTTTCCATGCTGCATTCCATTTGCAAACATTTTGACTTTGAGGTGATGAACATCAAAGGACGACGCAAAGCTCCTTACTTGTCCCTACTGGAGAACGTCGGGTAGCATGCAGTTGTAGTAA